CCCATTTTGCATAGTGGTACCATACTGCGCTATATAATTAGGTAATTCTGCTTTGACTTCAGCTCTCTGGCTGTCTTTTTTTATCCATTTTCCAGATGCCTGCTGGCCACATAGTTAACTGAAAACCCAAGAGATATTTCCAAAACATAATTTTGGAAAATGTAACTCAGGAAATATGTATAAATTCCAAGAAAAAAGATAATCAAGTGGTTTCACTGAAATTAAACCTGTTAATAAACAACAAAACATTATCGGCTTAACAAACACATGTAGCAGCAAATGCATAGTGGAGGTTGATACCAGTAAGAGACATAATAATTACAAATAAGAAAATTATTTTTTCAATTTCATGTGACCCACCTGCTGGTATGAAAATGACATTGAGAAGTACAAGTCAGAACAAAAAGAACTAAGTAATAAAAACATAATAGGCAACAAGTCTAATAGTCGCAACTATGAACATTAAATTGATCTATTTTCATTTTTGTAATTGGTCCAGAACAGCTTCAAGGACTATACTGTCTAATTCTGCATCAGCTGACAACAATGCTAATATTATAGTGTTTGGTAAAAGAGGCAACCAATATCTGATTGCCATAGACATGTCTTCATGTGTTACTATCCTTTACTGTCCAATACAATGATGTTCCTTGTTAAACATACCTTATTTTATTTTGGGAAATGTTATGACATGGAATATATAGCATGTAAAATGGATGTTCTGATCTATCAGAGATATTTGGATACTTAAACTATTTAGTAAAATAGGAACAAGGAGTAGCAGAGATTCTGGTTTCATGTCGTATGGCTCTGATTTTACAAAGGGAATAAAATGAAAGACATTTATACCATTGTTTCTGACTAAGAATTCTAGTTTTTACTTATTTTTAAGGCTGTCAGTTAAATGCAGCTAATGCAAGCGATTAACACACAAAACAAACTTAACTAAATTTAAAAATAGTTGTGATTAAGCAGTTTTAATCACATTACTAAACAAGAATACCAATATAAATGTATTGTGAATACTAGAGGCTGTGCCCCCTGCTTGCAATGTTTGCCAACCCCCCTCTCTCTCTGGTCACCAGCAGGAGGCCACGCAGCTCCCACTGAGCCTGGGGAAGGAGAGAGGGGCTTTGGGGGACAAAGTGACGCGTGACCTCACACACACACACACACACACACACACACACACACACGCACACACATTTGTGAATATATTTCTTAATTTTTAAAATATATTTACTTCAATTAAAATACAATGCTAAGTATATAGTGCTCAATTTATATTATTTGTATTTCAAATATTTGCACTGTAAAAACGAAAATAGTATTTTCCAATGCACCTCATACAAATACTCTGGTGCAATATATTTATCATGAAAGTGCAACTTACAAATGTAGAATTATTATTATTAGTTTAGCGCCTACAAGCTGAAGCATAAAGGGGCATGTTTAGCACATCTAGCAAGCAAATACCTTGCAACACCGGCTATAATAGTGACACGTGAATGCCTGTTCTCACTTTCAGGTGACATTGTAAGTAACTAGCAGACAGTATTATCTCCTGTATATGTAAACAAATAAATTGCTGCTTGTAATACCAAAAAATACCATAAATGACAACCAGAAGCAACCTGTTGAATCTGTTACTTCTTTTTACTGAATGTTCCATCCCAACAATAAGCCATACAAGCTTCATAGAGGGCAGAAGACAGTTGGCAATAGATATGAAGGCCCTTTAAGACAAATCTATATTTTCTTCCAAATAATTGGGTGCTCCCTTTGTTATTCACTAACATTAGGATCTCTGTGGAAAACATTTCAGTCCTAGAAAAGAGGAGACTGAGAAGAAAAGAGTAGTCATGGGGATCGAAAAAAAGAAGATTCCCTTAATTTGTGTCACTATGGTTGGTAGAGTCTCAGGAAATATTAATAAATCATTTGTGCTCAAAAAGGAGCTATTTAAAAACTAACACATTTTCACTGAAACTATAAAGAATTTAGCTTGTTCTAGATATGGAATGTTTAGGAATTTTAAGGAAAATCTCTTACAAGAGGAAAAGCACCTGAACTCACCAGCCAAGGCACTGAACTTGAACAGGAGCAAGTGGTGCAATGCAACAATCTGGCCAGAAGATGGAGGTTGGAGTCTATAAAACTAAAAATTATGTCTAGTACTCCCAGCATGGCAAACAAACTGCTAGAGAAAGATCCTCACACTGTTTACAAATAGACACTGAAACAAGAGAGAGGAAAAAATACTTGTTTGGGATGAAGGTCTCACAAGCAAGAAATCATATCCAAGAGGACTCTCCCCCTTGGGCAGCATACAACTCTTAAGACTGCTATGGATAGTAGCATGGAAACAATGAACTCAATCTTTGATCTGTCACTAGAAACCATTGGTGCGTGTGGTAGGCCTGGGAAACTGATACATAGCATTCTGTTACTAATGGTGATGTGCAAGGAGAAAATTCAATGGAGAGACAGGACAGAATGCCCATTTCCCAGGGAATTATGCTCCCTAAACTAGCTAAAGTTCATCTCTGTCTTCCTACAGATCTTGATGCCCTTGCGATACATAACTCCTTAAAAATGTGTGTATGTACCAAGGATAACAATATCTGACCATCTACATGGGCACATTAAGTTTGTGGCTATTACTACTTGCATTACTGTAGCATCTAGGAATATTAATCATAGCCAAGACCCCCAGCATGCTACGCAATGTACGAACAGAGCAAAAAACATAGTCTGTCCCTAAGAGCTCACAAAAATGTACAACAACAGATTCAGAAGTTCAAGGAAACAAGAAGAGAGTTTGGTCAGCATCACGGGTATCAGTGCACCAGTCACTGCCAAGTTTTTTGTAAACAAGTTGGGTAGAACTTTGAGAAGGTTTTGAGAATGCTTATTAGGAGCACCTTCTAAGCAGGAAGAGGAGTATGGACCAAAGCACAGTTCCATAACTGGTGTCCTTTGAGATGTGTTGCTCATACCCATTCCATGTTAGGTGTATGTGCTTGTCACATGCACCGGTACAGGAATTTTCCCCAGTGGTATGTTCAATGAAGCAGCTCTGGGGACACCTAGAATAGTGCCCTTGTGAAGCTGAATAAGAGATACCACATACTCTTCACACACTCAGTTCCTTCTTGCTAGAAACTCTCTGTCAGTGGGGAAGGAGAGGAAGTCCTGAAATGAACATGAACAACAAATCCAAAAACACTAGTTATGGAACAGGTAACTGTCCATTCCATATCAGCTAACAAGCAGTACCCATGGAGGTGGGCAACAGTTCATGGCTGTACTGATTTCTATTGAATTCAGTGTCGTTTGCAGCCTGCTCTACAGTGTGATGGCATAGTGAGACATGAACGTGTGGAACAAAGACCAAACCGCAGCTCTAAGATGATCTGGATTGGTACATGTACCAAGAGGCTGATAATGATAATTGAGTACTGGTCAAATGGATGTGGACAATCAAAGGCAATGGGACCTTTGTAAGATCATAGCAGGTCTGTATCCAACTGGCAATCCAATGGGACATCCCCTGTGATGAAAGGCCCTTCATCCTATCAGTAGCAACAAAGAGCTGTTTCAACTTGCAAAAGGGTTTAATACGTTCCAGGTAAATAGTTATGGATGTCCAGGGAAATAGACATCAGTCATCCACCATCTTGTGAGATTTGGGGCAAAACAAGGCAGAAACATGTCCTCGTTCACATGTCCTCCTTCCTTTGGTAGGAAGGCTTGGTGAGGCCACAGCTGAATCTTGTCTTTGTAGAAGACTATGCAAGGCAGTTCTGAGGTCAGAGCCCTGATCTCTGAGACCTGTCTCACCTAAGTCACTACCAGCAGAAATGCAATCTTGAAGGACAAGCTGAAAAGGGAACAGAATTCCAGCAGCTCAAAGGGCAGCCTGAGGGACCAGGCTCAGGTCCCACTATGAAACAGGGTATTCTACCTGCGGAGCAGCTCAAGACCCTTTAGGAATGTGACCACCATTTCATGGGAAATACCATCTTCCCCTCGATCAGCTCATGGAATGCATAGATACCTGCAGATAGACTTTGATGGTGGAACGCCCCAGACTTTGATTTCTGAGCTACAGCAGTTAGTCCAGAATGGATTGCATCAGAGAATGCAAGCGACAGAGAAAACCTCATCCACTTGGCCAAGTAAGACAATCTCATGGAAGGCTTACTGTTTCACAGAAGAACCTCCTCCAAACAGGGTCATCACAGAGAGTATCCATGCCGAGACATGCAGGAACTCAAAGTTGGTCCGCGATATCAGGTCTGGTCGAATGGGAAGGGGTCAGAGAGGGCACAATGTCGTGTTCATGAGTGTGCCAAACCAGAGCTGACAAGGCCACACGGGGTCAAGCATGATAACCCAAGTATCGTCTCTCAATCTGTACTAGGTTCCTGGTGGATGAGCTGGATCAGTGGAAATGCATACACCATACTCTTGGAATATGACAGAAAGAAAAGATCAGAGAAGGAGCCCCTAGCTCAGCCTCTGCCATGAGCAAAATTAACGGCACTTTCTGTTGTGCCTGGTGGCAAAATTACCTATAAAATTTTCTACTGTAACTTTCTCCCTCCTTAAAAAAAAAAAAGCTGTCTCTTGACTCGGATTTATATTTTTCCATGATAACCATTAGACTCATCTTTAATAGCCATAAATACTCCTCAGACTACTTAACTGCCTTTCCATGTCAAGCATGGTTAGAATATTTCCTTTTTAAAATAAGGAAAGTATTCAGTTAACTGCCAGAAGATCATCTCCTGCAGCATTTTAAAAAGGAGTAATAGTTTTTCTCCATTTTAAAAATAGTCATATAATGTTTTCATCAAGATGCGTCAGTTGCGTATTTTGTAATCACAAATTTTTCTATTTAAAAAAGTTATAGGTTAAGTATCAAAAAATATTTAAATATTTAGAGAAGAAAGCAATTATCTACAGAGTCGATAGCTATCCTGGATACCACGTACCTGGTTAGTTAGAGGTTGTTGAACCTGGTCAGTATACGATAAGGCAGAAACCTGTTGGTCATTTATGTTCTGCTGCCGACGATCACTGTACTGCTGATGTGAATGGGACATCTGTCCAGCCATCTGAAGGCCAGCAGCATGGAATGAAAATGACGGTGCAAGCCGAACAGATGAAGGTTTGCATGCTGAAGTCTCTCCTCCTAGACAAAGAATTCAAGATTTTAGTGTAATGTTTTATATCCTCATGGTATTTGCATTAATTGACCCCTATTTCCATGCCCATAAAATAAATAACATCAGATAAAATAATACTTTGAATTATGGGATGCAGAAGAGTAGTCAAATACTTGACTACCTGATGAGCCTAGTCACAATTCCCTTCCACCCCCAGCTGCCTCTATATCATAGGCAGAAAAGGTAGAGGAGAAGCAAGAGCCTCTGTGGTGGGGGAAGGAGGGGAGACAGAGGAACAGCCAAGCTGCAGCTCTGCCTTTTAAATGTAGAAAGAGCCACCTGGCTCTTACTACATTTAAAAGGCAGAGCTACAGTGGGGAGCTTACTCCTGGGAGCTAACCTCTCTGTGGCTCTGCAATTTAAATGAAGGAGGAGCTGGGCTCCTACTACATTTAAACTGCAGACGCAGCAGTGGTAGTGAGCACCCCTTCCCACTGTCCCCCAATAAACTAATTGAACAGTGGATGGAAATTCCATCAACTACTCAAAATAATTGATTATCCACAATTTAACATCCTATTTTGTACATATATATGAGCATTAATCCAGAGATCTTAAAGTGCATAAAGGTGAATAAAAGTATTACACCCCAGTTCACAAATGGGAAAGGTATGGCAGAGACATACTAAACTAAAAATGTGTTAGAAACATTATTTACCTTCCCCTCTTACAAGTAACATCTAAAATTATAACTGAAAACAGGTTTAAAAATATAATTGTCTGCTTTCTTTATCTGATGCCATGAGATATCTTTCTGTGCAATCCATTTCATCATTTTAATTATTCTGGGCTCAGAGTCTTTCACATAGCAGAAAGGGACAAAAACAAATGTAAATTAAAGGAAAATATTTCAGAATCACAATAAAGGAATACTCCGGTGGAGTTAAAACTGTGCTCCACATCAAGCAGAGGAGAGAAGTGAAACCAGGTTTCCTATATTCTAGGTGAATGTCCAAAATAACTGGGCTACACGTAGGGCAAATAACTTCCCCCTTTTTGTGAATCCACCCCTTCGTTTAAAAATGCATGAAAACAAAACATTTTGAGATGAATGTTCCAAAATTTTTGATTCACCTAATTTTTTTCTGAATTTTGTTTTTTGGGTCCTGAAAGATTTATTTTTGAAAACCACCAGCAAATCAAAAATATAATTTTGTTCAGCCTTAATCACAATATTCTAAAGCTACACTAGCTTTAAACTGAAATGCCAACACAGATGCAGTAGTGGTGGATTCTGACACATTACTGCTATGTCCTACTTGCTAAAAAAAGTGGGTTTAATTGACAAGTTGTTAAAATCCAGCTTGGCTCCCATTGCACAAATAGTGTTCAAGTTACAGTGGGGGAGGTCTAGGTTGGATATTAGGAAAAACTATTTCATGAGGATGGTGGTGAAGTACTGGAATGGATTACTTAGGAGCTAGTGGAATCTCCATCCCTAGAGGTTTTTAAGTCTCAGCTTGACAAAGCCCTGGCTGGGTTGATTTAGTTGGGACTGGCCCTAATTTGGGCAGAGGGCTGGACTCGATGACCTCCTGAGGTCTCTTCCAGCCCTATGATTCTAGTGTATTTACTACCAGTTGTCCTACTGATCCTTACCTAGCTAGAGGTAACACCACTAGGATTTTTCTGTCCTCTACAATTTCCTAAGTTAAGTAAATCTTAATTATGAACCCTAGACACAGTTCTTTCCAAGACAGACACTTTTTAAAAAGCTTAAATAAAATTTTGAACAGGTTGATGTTTGAAAGCTTGTCTGTTAAAATAAGTTTTCCTTGCACTTAATTATGTATATAGCTGCAACAACAAAGTGCATCAAAAACCTATATGTTACCCCAAAGGGAACTTTTGAAATGCTGACACACAATAATTGGGGATCTAGAAATCTTTTAATTTGCAAAATCATTTAAACAATACAGATTGAACCTCTCTAATCTGGCATTCTCTGGCCCGGCAACATTTGTGGTCCATCATGATTTTAGTTAGCTAGATGTTTACTTATCACAGGGTGTGGCCAAGTTTCCTGTGGTCTCAGTGTACATTTACAGGCACTAGTCCTGGCTCTCAGGGTGCTGTGCTATTGTTTAGCTCTAATTTACCCATAAACATCTTCTAAGAGCTAGGTAAGCAGCAGAAATGTTAGTACAGGCAGTCCCCGGGTTACGTACAAGATAGGGACTGTAGGTTTGTTCTTAAGTTGAATTTGTATGCAAGTCGGAACTGGCGTCCAGGTTCAGCCGCTGCTAAAACTGACCAGCGGCTGACTACAGGAAGCCCGAGGCGGAGTTGCTCTGCCCTGGGCTTCCTGGAATCAGCCGCTGATCAGTTTCAACAGCGGCTGAATTTGGACGCCTGGGACAGAGCAGCTGGGGCGCTGCCGGGTAGGTCCCGCAGCGCCGCACCTCAGCGCTGCTGGGACCATCCTGGCAGCCCCCCAGCTGCTCTACCCCAGGC